GATAAAGCTGTAACGCATTGTCTGTCGGTACAAGAATGTCAGTCAGCATTTCTTTATTGACGTTCAACCATCAGTCCGTATAAATATGCTGATCGGTAAAAATATGATATAAATAAATATACTAATCTGTAAAAAAATGATTTTATACGCTGACTGATAGATATTCCTCGTTGTTTCTAGGCTGTGGTAAGTGCAGTACTAGGCTGCAGAAGTATCGAAGTCGTTTGCTCGGTTAGAAACCGTCTATATTTTGTGTATATCCTATATATTCAGTAGTTACATTGTTTTCAGTATATTTTTTAATACTCGTCTTCATGTTTTTAATTTCTTTGCACTCATATATACTCCTATTTACATCAAAATTTGAGAAGAAACGCTGGAACTCAAAGCTTCTAGGATTGTGTCGTCAAGAAATTGATTAGGTGTGAATCGGTATCAGCCTGATTTAGATAACGATGTCGAGAATCGGCTATTTTATGGATGATGGCAGCGAGACGGTGTGAATAAGCTATGCTTGATGGCGCCAGAAAGACGTGACGGACTCTACAAATAAGGAAAATTAGGGTCTAAGTTATTATTAAGTTAGAAAGTTTTCTTTATTCTAAAAATTGTAATGAGTCGTATATGAGTAGAATTTATATTTAGGTTGGGGTATAAATATTAGACCCTTATTATTATAAAAGAAACGAACACACAATCGATACAATGTTTCGGTTTTAAGCCATCGCATTAGGAGTAGGATCTTGTAGATCTCGATGAGTTCTTCAACAAATAGGGCTACATCAACCGATCGACCTTCACTTTTATTTGCTAAGTACCGTCATGACTTGTATTGTGCTTGTAAAACCGCATCAGTTCATTGATCTTTTATGAGCCATAATATAAGTAAGTTATCGATTTGTATCGTAATTTTTAAGGCTGCATCAGCTGATTGATCTCTTACGAATCACAATATAGATCAAAGTTATTGATCTTGTGTTAAATAATTTGTTGTTTAATACAATATCACCGACTTATCGAATCGCTAAGATTAGTAAGATTTTCCTTATTGTTTTGATTAATTCACCAGTTATCGATCTTGTTATAATTAATGTTTTATAAATTATAACAAAATTACCCGATTTAGATAGAGATAGATCGGCATTATATCATCTTAATTGGTCGTCCTTTGATCTCGGTCACGCTTTAAATCTTATAATCGATGGCTTAATTTTCGCTAGATCATTTGTTTTATCTCTATTTCAATCGAACATGATATACATCTAAAGACATGTTCTAATCTTGAATAAACTCATTAGTTAATGAGATCTAATCTAATGATGGTACCATAGCTGCATCGATCCGGTCGAACCTCAATGGTAAGACTTTATATTAGAAATTATCGATTAGTGGTCTTGTTCATAATTAAGCTATGTACTCTGTTTGTTTGCTATGACTGTATCGGCTATTTTAGCCGATTTGCCTATACTTTCACGCATATAATATGTTTTCATGAATCACAACATATATATGGTTTTATAGATTCTTTGGCTTTAATTTGTTATCATTATCATAGCTACGCCGATCAAATTGAACCTCACTTTTGTTGATGATAATAGATTAGATTCAAGCTATTTGTAGATTCATTTATATTGAGCGGTCGATTTGTTAGCATGTTATACTCTTTTCACCAAACTTATCATTTCGACGCTTTATATCGATAATGTTCCATTTAGTCGGTGATGTTTTTCTTATATCGCTTCTTTCTTTGATCCATGAGCATCGGTTATTTTGATTCATATCATTATCATTTAATATTAGCCGATAATCCTTAATTTAAAGATCTTCATTTCATAGATACGACATCGGCTATCTAGCCGCATATCTTCGAGGCTGCTTTGATACGACATCGACATGTTCCACCTTAAATTACCGATAAGATTTTCTCTCCTTATTAATTACTGAGCAATTGGTGACACGTCGTTGGGTTTTCGAGAATCGGTGGTTCTATGTTGAAGCCAAGCAGATCTCTTATCTCGTTCGCCTCGGATCGCTGGCGGTGTAAGTCGTGGATCATCGACTGTTCGGGAGGCCGTGATCGTATCGTGGATTATTTTCTTTGGTTTGGTTTGGTGTGAGAGAAAAACACTATTCTCGGGCTGTAAATTTACGATCGTTTACGAACAGCCGAACAGGTTGCATATCACCGCATTTTTATGTCAACAACTCCTGGGAAGGTGTGTCGGTGATGTACGTAGTGCTGCGTCACCACATTTGCACTTGCACTCGTATTTGTTCTTAATTTTTTATTCAAATAAATAAAACACACCACACTCCCAAGCCCGGCGACACGCGTTGCAGTTGCAGCGCCGTTGAAATCTGAGAGAGGAGGCAGGCAGGCAGGCAGGCAGGCAGCCTACTCGTCCCTGCGCGACAGTCATCCTGTGAACGAGGCTGCTCCTCGTCGCCCCCAATCGGCCAAAACTTCCCCAGCCAAAACCCTCCCAAACCCTCATCCACCCCGCCTGTATAAAGCCCTGCGCTCCTCCGCGCTCTCAACGCCATCCATTCCATTTCTTATCCCTCTCCTCCCCCTCCCCTCCCTCCCTTCCCCGATGGCGTCCCTCCTCACGCTCCCCGCCCTCGCCCTCTCTAACCCCGCCACCGCCTCCGGCGCCGTCCGGCTACGCGCCGCGGCCCTCCGCTGCTGGGCGCTCCGGCGGCGGGTGGGCGGCGGCGGTTGCCGTGGCCTCGCCCAACTCCGTGCTCAGCGAGCACGCCTTCAAGCGGCTCCAGCTCGGGAGCGACGACGAGAACGAGGAGGGACGTACGGGAGCGACGCCGACGAGGGGTTCGAGGCGGGGAGGGGTTCCAGGGGACGAGGAGGAGCTCGCCATTGCCAGGCTCGGCCTGCCCGACGAGCTCGTCGCCACGCTCGAGAAGCGCGAGATTACACACCTGTTCCCCATACAGGTGAATGAACTGTTGCTCTCTGTCTCTCAATTTATGCTCGGTTGCTTCTAACTGCGCGGCTAAGCCGTGCTGCAGTATTGGCTGTCGAGAGGGGACTGGGAGGGGGTCCAGTGGGTGTTCAATTTGGGGAATTGGGTTACTGCTTTTGAAATTCGTGGCGCGGACCTTGTGTATTGCCCAGCAAATTTTAGGCGCTTGTTTCAGGGAAATATAATGCAGGATAAGAGGAGCGTGGCTACTTCGGTGCAATAGGGACATTAGGACCATAGTGTATTCCGAGTGGATTAGTCCTTACTGAAACTAGCCTACTACTAGCAGTCTAGCACGTATCCATACACTCCTCAGTATATCAAGCTAGCGGGCCAATTCATAGATATTCCTCTTGAGCTTATGAATGTAGCCAGATAAATTAGCTGCACTTTCAGTGGCATGCTATGTGCCACATGTTTTTACTGAGCTCAGTAGCTCATGTTCGGGTTTTAATTGTTGTTTTATTTTGCTCACTTGCTGTCTCCTCCAGAGGGCTGTGTTGATTCCCGCTCTTGAGGGCCGTGACCTGATTGCTAGAGCAAAGACTGGAACCGGAAAGACACTAGCCTTTGGTATTCCCATGATCAAGCAATTAATCGAGCAAGACGATGGTCGGAGTACAAGGTAGCCATTCATCTTTCTATGGAGCTTCACTGGAGTCAGTTGATAATTAGCAGTCACATTGACTGTTTCCTTTACCTTTTCGCAGGCGAGGTCGCACTCCTCGGGTTCTGGTTCTAGCACCTACCAGAGAGTTAGCCAAACAAGTCGAGAAGGAAATAAAGGAATCAGGACAAGCTTCGGCACAGTGTGTGTTTATGGCGGTGTCTCGTATAATGTCCAGCAGAATGCACTCTCGCGTGGTGTCGATGTTGTTGTTGGCACACCTGGGCGCATAATTGATTTGATAAATGGCGGAAGCCTCCAGTTGGGAGAAGTTCAGTATTTAGTCCTGGATGAGGCTGACCAAATGCTTGCAGTGGGGTTTGAGGAAGATGTGGAGACAATATTACAAAAGCTTCCTCATGGACAGGCAAAGCATGCTGTTCTCTGCGACGATGCCTAGTTGGGTGAACAAACTGTCCAGGCGGTACTTGAACAACCCTTTGACAATTGACTTGGTATGGCTTCCAGTCCTCCACTTTCATTTGCTGTCATTTACCCTTTTCTTTTGTTGCACAGTTGAGAGCATTCTATTATATAATGTTGTATGGGATTATTCTTACATGTGATTGCAGATATCATTTTAACTCGATCATAGTTTATGGTCATGTTGCATGCTATTTGATAAATATTCTGGCCTAAAAACTTGGACAAGAAACCCATGTGGTTGTTTCTGTTGCACCATGTGCCAGCTGAAAATATTGAGTTTAATTCTTGTTCATGGTGCATAGCGACAAACCACAATAAATTAGCTATTTCCTTTTTCATGAAACTCTCCGAAGGAGTAAAGGATGACTTTTTCTGTTAATATATATTATTTGTTTATTATTTGTGCAATTCTTACTAGCACTTTGTTAGGACACGAATGTCACAACAACAACTTATTCATGCTCATGCTGGTTGCGGACTCTAGATATTTATCAATACAGTGCCATAGGGGATGCTAAGAGTGTTCTTGAGCTGTTAATTGCACTTTCACTTGAAGGCCCATGTTGATTCCTTGTGAGATAATTGTGGCACCTGTGTCTGGCTATGGTTTAGTTTTCCATATTTTTATGTCCTAATACGTTATTGTGTCTCTTCATGTGTTAAGGTTGGTGATCAAGATGAAAAGCTTGCTGAAGGAATCAAACTCTATGCTATCCCACTCACAGCAACATCAAAGCGCACCATTCTTAGTGATCTAATTACGGTATGTTAATGTTGGTCATGGAATTTTTAGCTGCTTTTTCCCTCCCCTCTTCTCACCTTTCGGTTTAACTTTTGCTAGCCCCTTGGATAATAGTAAATGGTGCAGGCAGCTAGCACATGCATGTTTTATTTGAATCAACATAACCATAACCATAAACACATAGGTCTATCTTTTACTCTTAGTCTGATTACATTTCCATGAATATCATTTCTAATTTCCTTGAATACTTTGGTAACTGCATTCATTTCAGCTTGGTTTAAGCTGAAAAGTCTTGATGTTGTGTTCTCTGTTTAGCAGTTACAAGTTACATTTAGTCACTCCTTCCTCAATGGGGGTTCAAACTGTAAATGGTTGATGCTTCTGAAACTGGGTGCTGTGGCTCTTAGTGTTTTCAAAAAGGATTTGTGCCATTTGTTTCCTTATAGTTTCTGATGCTGGCAAATTAGGACTTCGATAATCATGGTGTTGTTGTTCTCATCAACATTAACATTGTGTTGGTGTTTAGTTTCATCATTTTGATTTCGTGATGGTTTGCCTGTCTCTTGGGATACAAAAATGTATATGTCACAGTTGATACAGTTATGTTGCTGTATAATTTTACTTTGTTCTGATTGAGAACACAATTCTATATATGTATCTGCCATGCATATTAAACATTTTAAGGGCTCGGTTTTGCTTAGACTTGGTCACTTTCACATATCTATCGCATGAGATAAGTTGTTTTGATTAATCAGTGTCAATGCTAATCCATATATTTTGTTGTTAGGTTTATGCAAAGGGTGGGAAAACCATTGTTTTCACTCGTACGAAGAAAGATGCAGATGAGGTATCATTGGCACTGACAAACAGTATTGCTTCTGAGGCACTTCATGGTGATATTTCACAGCATCAGCGTGAGCGGACACTAAATGGATTTCGTCAAGGGAAATTTACTGTTCTAGTAGCTACAGATGTTGCTGCCCGTGGTCTTGATATACCAAACGTTGATTTGGTGGGTTCACAATCCTCTTCACTTCACCTGATTCTAGATACTGTAATTCTGTAAAACATCTTTCCAAACATGCGTGTTAACTCAGTATCATGGAGCTGTGATGGTTAGCTTACCAAATTACACATTCTTCTAGAAAAAATAATCAGCGAAAATTCCTAGTTTAAGACTTTATATTATAGCGCCAAACGAGGTATCGTATCTTCAAGCAATGTACTTAGGTTTCTTTTTACCTGGCCATTTAGGAATTTAGCAATTAAGCTTTTCATCTTGCCACTAAACAAATTCAAGTGTTCTTCTGTATTTTAGTTTGGCATGCATTGGGTTTCATACTGGAACATCATCACTTGGGTATGTCTGATAGCATCCCTGTCTGATGTCTTGGGCTGGTTAATCTTGTGATTTACTTGATACTGTTTTTTCAACTTAAACTTGTAAAGTGCATTTTTGCATTATGCTATTTGAAATGAATTGTAGGCATACAATGCCTAATTATTGAGAGGCTTCATTTTTGTATGCAGATTATCCATTACGAATTGCCAAATGATCCAGAAACTTTTGTCCATCGTTCTGGACGCACTGGACGTGCTGGGAAAGCAGGAACTGCAATCTTGATGTTTACCAGCAGCCAGAAAAGGACAGTTAAGTCTCTTGAGCGTGATGTTGGTTGCAAGTTTGAGTTTATAAGCCCTCCGTCCATGGAAGAAGTGCTGGAGTCATCTGCTGAGCATGTCATTGCTACATTGCGTGGGGTGCACCCAGAGTCGACTCAGTACTTTCTTGGAGCAGCTGAGAAATTAACAGAAGAATTAGGACCTCATGCTCTTGCTTCTGCACTGGCACATCTGAGTGGGTTTTCTCAGCCACCTTCTTCACGTTCTCTGATCAGTCATGAGCAGGTAAGAAGTGACACAAGAAATTACATATGCATTGTTTTCTATTATACCTACCATTGAGGTCAACTACTTTCCACAGCTAAGTAAGCATACCTTACATCTGTTCTGTCATTAATTTGAATATTTGATCCTGTTGTTCTGGCTTCTGTTTTCTAGATTTGAAAATTATCTGGTTGATGTTATATGACTACTAATACCAACAACTAGCATTTTTTTCTATTATGAATTTATAACAGGTCATCAAGCGATCATCTAGAAAAGCTCCATAACTTTTGTTGTGCATTTGTCTTTTCTTGTGGTTTCGTTCTTAAGGAGGACGCTCTCAGATGCTTTCTTTCTCTCTATTGAAATGCAGGGATGGGTCACATTGCAACTAAGTAGAGAACAAGGATATGGCAGAGGCTTCTTTTCTCCTAGATCTGTTACTGGTTTTCTATCTGATGTTTATTCAGCTGCTGCAGATGAAGTTGGCAAAATATACCTAACAGCAGATGAGAACGTGAGTTTTTTCCTGACTATATTAAATTGTTCCCCATTACAATTGTAAAGATGGTGTCTCTTACTACTTCCGTAATGTGCATTGGATCTAGTTAGAGCGCAGGGCACTAGAAAGATGGTTTTCTTGTATTAAAACTGTAACTGCCTTGTTCTGCGTGTCTACACCACTCTCTTTTTCACTTTTGTTTGCTCTTGCCCTTTATTTGTGTAAAGCTGGGCATGATTTCCAACCTGATTTCGACTACAACCATGAAATGGAAGTCTTTTATGCTGTGGTGTCAATTAGTGACAAAGCATATTGTGCCACAGTTAGTAGGATACAGCTTGCTGGTTGGGGTTATTTTTTAAATCCTACAGATTTGTTTGGATGTGGCATCTGGAACAATTAATTGTACTGATACTTTGTCTACAATCTGCTAGAAGGAAAATTGTATGCATAATAATGAACCAAGACTTGCGTAGAATATATTTTATGCTATTTCCCTTGTTCTGATGAATTTTTACTGTTGATCAATGCATTGCTCATCATATCAGGTCCAAGGAGCAGTCTTCGATTTGCCTGAGGAAATCGCAAAGGACCTGCTTACTATGGAGCTCCCCCCAGGAAACACCTTAGTCAAAATATCGAAGGTATTTTTGCGGCTCATCTGCTCAAGTTAGTTATGGATAATTTATGTCATGAAATATACGCAGATGTTTATCTTGATGGTTTATCATGCCATACATTACAGCATGTGCTAAAACTGCTGGCTGAGATAAACAGGAATTAGAAGTCTAGTCTCTCACTATTTTGATCAACATTTGTTCTACTTTATTTATCTCCAACCAGGCCTGCTTAAATTGCATTAATTTTATAGTTCCTAATATTTTCCGAATGTGATTTTGGTTTTCTGAAAGTCAGTGATGACTGTTATTCTTTCCTGCTTTCAGCTGCCTGCGTTGCAAGATGATGGTCCTGCCACTGATAGCTATGGTCGCTTTTCCAATGACCGAGGTTCCAGGAACAGGCGTTCCAGGGGTGGAAGCGCTGCAAGAGGCCGGGGTGGTTGGGACACTGACGGTGAGGACCGATTCCGCCGTGGTGGCAGGAGCTTCAGGTCTGACAACGATAGTTGGTCAGATGATGACTGGTCAGGCGGTGGGAGAAAATCAACCCGTTCCTCGTCCTTTGGTAGCCGCCCATCATCTTACGGCAGCCGTGGCTCACCATCCTTCGGTGGGCGCTCATCATCCTTCGGTGGTAGGGAGAGGTAAGCTTCGCAAGATTCCCGATACAATGTAGCAAAGTTAGCAATTCTAGGTGTGTGCTACCCAGGTATTGGTTCTTAGGTAGTTCACTTAGAGCGACCTGGTATTTCATTCATCAAGCTTGGGTATAACTAATACTGACAGGTGAAGTAGTCTGTTTAGCCTACTAGATCTTGCTACAGCCCATTCTTGCCTCCCTGAATCATGATAAAAAATTACCTTGAAAGTTATTTTCAGAACAAAAGATAAATCAACTACCACACTGCAAATTAGTACTGCGCATTATGATCTTTCTGTTTCCAAGGCTACATGGCTAATATCCTCCCCTTATTTGCAGCAACAGAAGCTTCAGCGGTGCTTGTTTCAACTGCGGTGAATCCGGTCACCGTGCATCAGACTGCCCAAACAAGTAGATGGTAGAGATGGCGCATTCTTCCCTGCCTGCACGGGGTCGCCCCTTTTGATGACCTTGATCGGCTTCCAACAAGACGGCTGGAGCATCAGGACGCGCACGCAGAGCAAAAACCCAAGCCCACTCCACCTGCTGATCAGTATACTACGCCCGACATCCAGCCGACGTTATTACTGGCTGGCGCCCCACCGTGTGCGGTAGCTACAGTTTTGTGTGGCCGTCTCGTCGGAACAGAAGATTTTGGCATGCTGACTACAGTTATTACATCCAGAGGAGTTCCTTCAGCTTATTCATGTCATACGGGGTCCACTCTAGTACTCTACAGGGATATGTTGTATTTCTTCTCTCTTTTTGTGTTCTTGATTGAGGATCTCAATATAACTGTAACCACACGAACTGTGTACAGTTGCTTCCGCTACACCATTGCGACAGAGACCGAATTACAGTCGTTGGGGATGTCTGTGATCAGCAACAGAGACCGAATTGCAATCGTCGGGGATGTCTCCCAACCAAACGCTATGTTAGATACTTGGATATCTGTGATCTGTGTTGTCTTGCTTCAGGTGTGAACATCCATAGGTGGTAGGTTAGCTCCCGTTGCTCCTTTTGACACCGAAAGTAGTATCAGACTTTGTTGCATTAGAAAAGGGTTACGCTGCGCCGGTTGCTCCGGCAGCTCGTCCTCCTGATCTGACCTCGCAAACACACGGTCTGGTCAACGCAGTGGCAGCGTACGGCACGACTGCAGGGAGAAAGTAAACCATCCAGAGCGGTGGCCGCCGCGGTTCAACGTGGTAGTCGGTGGTTGGCCCGCCGTCGAGTAGATCACCCTGGCCGGTAGATGCGTTGAATTTGCAGCTGGTCCTGTCCAGGGAGCTTCTGGTATCAGAAAAGGTTCGGTCGATGCGGTGGGTGGCGAATGATACCGAACTGGCGAACGATCTACGTGCAGATCTGCAGATGCAAAAAGACCTGAGAGGCTTGAGACTATTCCGTCAGGTTAGGTCAGGTCAAGATCCATGCGCATCCAGCGTCTAAAAAATGATCCATGTCTAGCGGCCATGGCAAACACGCGGCTGGCTGAGTAGCTGACCTGGCCTAACCATGGATAAGGCAGAGGCAAAACGTCACCCCCGAGCCCGTGCGCGTCTGTACATTACAGGGGGACGAATGAAGGGTCCATGCAGTTACAACGAGCAGGCACCCTCTGTCTGTTGCCCCTGTGGCCCTGTCCGGCTGTCCCTCGATCGCCACGTCCACGGCAGACGAAGGAAATGATAGCCGCGAGCCGTGCGTGGCTCGCGAGTCGTGACCGCCGGCAACCACTCACTCCCCGTGCGCGTCGTCCTCGTCCCCGGCCCGCGGGCGTCTCGTCGTCACGGGCTCCGTGCACGCAGCCGTACCCTCTCCTTTCTCGCCGTCCAGGCACAGATGCCCCGAGCGGATTAGCCCAAACGAGCAAATGGCGTGTCGGAACCGACTGCCGTCGCTGTTCAGACCCGTGCGATGCGACCGTCCGGCATCGTCGTGCTCGCTGGTGTCAAAGCCCAGGGCAAGAGTTTCCGGAAACGTGACAGGTCGGACAAGTGTCAACTGTTACTGCGACGAGCCGACGACGATACTCCTACATGTATAGTAGCCGATGTGCTATCCTGTTCGCTTGATCGTATCAGCCATACTTATCAGTCATGATACAGCGTTTTTCTCTCATAACAAAACAACATCAACCGACTTATAAGCTAAATAAACGATCAGGCAAACAGGTTAAGACGCACGTACTATTAGCATCGGCTGTTGCCCACTGCCACACTCCAGCGATTTTAGACTGGAGAGGGTCTAGTACTCAAGTTAACACGCGCGGCATGGCTGGGTTGACTTGCAAGACACATGTGGGAATCGTATTTCTGGGGATCGGACCACGCACGCACTTGACGTTAATTACTCACACGCGCGCACTGCACGCATCCGCCGCATATATATATATATATATATATATATATATATATATATATATATATATATATATATATATATATAGCTGGCCATAAAATAACTTATTCTATAGCCACCTTGATTTACGATAATGTTTGTACCAATTTACGATAACATGAATATGCATTTATGATACTCGTGTTACTACAACTCATAGTGATATTTACCATAATGTTATAGTAAATTACTTAGTAAGGAGTTACTGTAATCTCGTGGCTACAGAATAAGCTATTCTATGGCCAGCTGCAGAACAGTATATATATATATATACCCTGCCGATCGAATCAGTTTAGTTATTGTCAGTCGTGGCACACGTACTAATCTGATTCCGATACCCACATTAGTTATTGTCACATCGATAGTTCTTTTCTTTTATTAATAATAATGGAAGTGTGGGGTTCCTGGAATGTGTTCAGATTCCAACGGGCCTTGACATACATATTTGGTTTGATAATTACTCCATAGTACAAGTACTCTTATACTAAGGTCTTGTTTAGATTGGGATTAAAAATTAGTATTTGATATTGTAGCACTTTCGTTTGTATTTGATAATTATTGTCCAATCATGGCCTAACTAGACTCAAAAGATTCGTCTCGTAATTTACAATCAAACTGTGTAATTAGTTATTTTTTATCTACATTTAATACTCCATGCATGTGTCCAAAGATTTAATGTGATAGAAATAGAGTAAAAAAACTTGCAATCTATACAAGGCCTAATACGTAATTCGTGGTCATCAGTCATGTCATGGTCATGGGCGAATGCAGTGCCCCTACTACCGGTAACTTCCACGAAAGCAACAACGTCGTTGGCGTGTTGCTGTAAGAGTAGTGCAGCATCAGCAACGTAGTGTATGCAGTGCCCCTACGAAACACGTCCATTTTGTATGTGTACTACACGAGCGTGAAGCAAGCAATGCAAGATCGAGCAGCCGCCGGCGTTTAATAACGTACTCCGTCCCCATCATTGGCTAATCATTCATCTAGTGTATATCTAATCTATCCACAACGAGCAAATCTAATCTATCCCCATCATTCATCTGAAGCCTATCTATGGGGTGCAAGACTGCCGCCACATTGCGACGATTTGGTGCTCTGCAATGTTAAACGGAATGTAATCATAGAGCTCCCTAAAATATAGTGTTTGTAAACTTATCTGGCTTTGAGAGCCAACAATCAATATAATGTATGTATTGAGATTCGAAAAAAAAAGTCCACAACAACTCCATAGGGCTGCTGCTCCGTTTAACTAAATGGGGGTTGAAAAAAAGAAAAAGAAAAGGCGCTAATAACAATTCTATGCTGCTAATGGCTGCTGCTGAGACAAGACGCCGTGCATGGAACAGATGAAGTGCATGTTTGCGCAGACACATGGCACGATCGCCATCCACGCACGCGACCTGCAGCATGTTCGTTTGGCTGTGTCTTATCGTAAACGATCGTAAATTTCCAGCCGGAACAATATTTTTCTCTCACATAAACTAACCAGCAGTACTTCTTCACGAACCAGCAACGATACGAACCAGCCAACCGAACAGGCTGCTGGTCAACTAAAATAATCACTGCCGCGGCTTCCGGCCGAAGAAACACTAACGTCGTGGCCCGTGCGTGCTCTGAATCGGACGCAACGGACGTTTTTTCACCCAAACCCCCGCCGGGCCGCCGCGCCTTGGGAATCTGCCGAGCAAGAGCAAACGGCCGCGGCGGCCGAGCAAGAATAGAATAGTGCGGTGGAGGAGAGGACTAGTGCGATCCACTCCATGTGTCTACTTCCGTTTCCATCGGCACCGAGAGCCCGAGACCGCTTGGCTAGTTTGGCTGCCTGCTCTCCATGCTTCCTCAGCTCGGCTGCCGCAGCCTGCGAGGTGGCCGGACTGGACGACGGATATGGCAGCGACAGCAAGCGAGGCCTCCTCGGTCGTCCCGTCGTCATCGAGCCAAACCGAGGCGTCTGCTCGTGTATCTTTAGCCAGCCGTACGTCCGGACCAGCGGCCCGAACCTTCGTAACCAAGCACCACATTTGACCGGGGAGCTCGGGCAGAGCACCTTCAACACACTCTATAGATTTTTAATAAAAAAATATTCTCTAACATTCTCTTTAATTTGAACTCTATATATAGATATATAGATATCATCCATTTCGAATTTATCGTTAGCAAAGATCTTTCAACAAGAACGACTCTCTAGAGTGCGCACAAGATATAAAAAAACTATTGAAAAGTACAGATATAAAAAGCGATTTTTACGTAAATGATTCTCAAAATGATTGTTTAGTGAGTAACTTTGGAAATATTTTTTGGAGATACTCTTACAGGGAGCAACTAAAAATTAGCTTTGGTTTAGTTAAACAGAAGAGCTAATGGGTGAACTAGTTTTTAGTCAAACTTAGCTAGTTGTTAACCTATTAGTCAGCCATGACCAGCTAATAATGGTTGCGCTGGCTAATAGTTACCTGACTATTCCTAAAAAAATAGTTGCTTGACTAATTTTAGCTCCGGCTAATAATTAGGCTATGTTTAGATCATTGTAGCTAATAGTTAGCTGGCTATAGACCCCGTTTGGCTTGCTGAAACTTGGCTAAAACTGACTGAAAAACACTGTTATTGCTGAATTATTGTGAGAGAAAAATACTATTCCGGCTAAAAAAAGAAGTCGAACAAGCTATATATTTGAGTATTGTTTGGATCCACTGGCTATAAGGCAGAGCCATTGGTGGTCCCCCTAAAACTCCATTCATTTTCTATTTGTTATTAAAGTGAGTTTAAAGTGAATTAAAGTAATGAATTAAAATGGTTCTCCACTAGCGAATTTTATTCAAATGGTTCTCCAAATGATGAATTAAAGTGAGTTTAAAAAAGTCTCTTAGAGAATTCTCTTAAGTTTGTTTGAAATAGCTAGTGAGATACTTCCTCCGTTCCGTTTTATAAGGCATGGTCTTCTAAATTACAATATGATTATTTATTTATTTTACAGTGTATGGATACAAACTTATTATAGCTGGATAGTAT